TGGCCCTGGAGGCCGCAAACGCCGACACAGAGGGAGAAGATCTGGCATTCTGGTTCGACTGAGACGGCGCACTAACAGACCAGTTTATTACTGGCTAATGTGCAGTCTCTGGAGAACAAGCTGTGCGAGCTTCGGGCACGGATCTCATTCCAGCGAGAGATGCGGGACTGCTGCGTGATCTGCCTCACAGAAACCTGGCTATCGGACAAGGTACCGGACTCCGCAATACAACTACCGGGGTTCTCCGTGCATCGCACGGACAGGTCACAGGATTTTACTGGGAAAAGCAGAGGCGGTGGTGTATGTTTCATGATCGACAACAGCTGGTGTGATTATGCGAACGTGCACCCGGTCAAATCCTTCTGCTCACCGGACCTGGAGTACCTGATGATTAAGTGCCGGCCATTCTGGCTACCAAGGGAATTTACAGCAGTGATTATTACGGCTGTTTACATTCCCCCACAAGCCGACACTGACCGAGCACTCAGGGAGCTGTACAGCGCGATCAGCAGCGAGGAAACCGCACACCCAGAGGCAGCGTTTATCACGACCGGGGACTTTAATAAGGGAAACCTGAAGAAAGTCTCACCCAAACTCCACCAACACATCCATTTTAACACTCGTGGAGACCGGCTACTTGACCACTGCTACACCTCTTTCTGGGATGCGTACAAAGCCCTCCCCCGCGCCCCATTCGGCCAATCAGATCACCGCTCCATCCTGCTCCTGCCCGCCTACAGGCAGAAGCTGAAACAGGAAGCTCCAACCCGGAGGGCGGTGCACTGTTGGACGGACCAATCGGAGTCTGCGCCGCGGGACTGTTTTGATCACGCAGACTGGGAAATGTTTCACGTGGCTGCTAGGGACATTGATGAGTACAGACTCAGTCTGCGGATTTATCAGGAAGTGCGTGGAAGATGTCGTCCCATCCAGAACAGTTAAATCCTTCCCAAATCAAAAACCCTGGATTAACGGAGATGTTCGCGCGGCACTGGCGGCACGGAGCACCGCCTTTGCCTCCACAAACACATCGGACTACAAACACGCACATTACCAACTCCAGAAGACGATCAAAGCAGCCAAACGTGAGTACAGGGACAGGGTGGAGCAACAGTTTGACAACCCTCGGAGTATGTGGCAGGGACTAAACACGATCGCAGACTTTAGAGGGAAAACCAGCACACCGCAGACCACGGCCTCTCTGAGGATCTAAACGTATTCTACGCTAGATTCAACACAGCGAACACCATGAGACCGGACACTGTGCGCACCGCGGATGACATCAGTGCGCACACTGTGTCTGAGGAGGATGTGCGGAAGTGCTTCAGGAAGGTCCGTTGTCATCACAACCATTATGTCAGTCACCCTCAGTTCAGCCTCCTGTTCAGCAGCCACTAGCCCTGCATCCTGTGTCAGTTGCTCCACCTGTAAAACAATACAAGTCAATTCAACCCGAAAGACACTGTTCCTCGCCCATCCATTCCAAGCAGAGAGAAATCTAATAATAATGTAATCATCCCTCAACAGCTGACCAGTTTTGAGACTGTGATGCACTCCAGGGCCCCCCCAGAGGCTGGGTTTCAGTCCTCAGCAGACTGGGGGCTGAAACCCCCCAGTCTGCTGGGGGCCAGGGGTCTGGACCCCCTGGAGGTCCAGACCCCTGGAGGTTAAGAAACCAGGGGTTCTTAACCTGGCTTCTTAACTGAGCATGCTTGATGCTCAGGCATCGACTCTTCCAGCAGCTGCTATGTGTTTGCAGCTGCTTGCAAATACATGCAGCCTGCTATGTGTTTGCCAGAAGCCACCGTGTCTGCTGGTCCTGTTCTGTCCCTGCCAGAGGCCCGTGCGGCTGCTGGTTCTGTCCTGCCCCTGCCCGAGACCCGTGCGGCTGCTGGTTCTGTCCTGTGCCTGCCAGAGGCCCGTGCGGCTGCTGGTTCTGTCCTGTCCCTGCCAGAGGCCCGTGAGCCTGCTGGTTCTGTCCTGCCCCTGCCAGAGGCCCGTGCGCCTGCTGGTCCTGTCCTGTCCTGTCCCTGCCAGAGGCCCGTGCGCCTGCTGGTTCTGTCCTGCCCCTGCCAGAGGCCCGTGCGCCTGCTGGTCCTGTCCTGTCCTGCCCCTGCCAGAGGTCCGTGCGCCTGCTGGTTCTGTCCTGCCCCTGCCAGAGGCCCGTGCGCCTGCTGGTCCTGTTCTGAACCAGCAGGCACAGCAGTGGATGAGGCTGCTGCTCCACCAGCAGCCTCATCCACTGCCAGAGGCCCATGCAGCTGCTGGTTCTGTCCTGTGCCTGCCAGAGGCCCGTGCGCCTGCTGGTTCTGTCCTGTTCCTGCCAGAGGCCCGTGCGCCTGCTGGTCCTGTTCTGTCCCTGCCAGAGGCCCGTGCGCCTGCTGGTCCTGTCCTGTCCCTGCCAGAGGCCCGTGAGCCTGCTGGTTCTGTCCTGTCCCTGCCAGAGGCTCGTGCGCCTGCTGGTTCTGATCTGTTCCTGCCAGAGGCCCGTGCGCCTGCTGGTCCTGTCCTGTCACTGCCAGAGGCCCGTGCGCCTGCTGGTCCTGTCCTGCCCCTGCCAGAGGCCCGTGCGCCTGCTGGTCCTGTCCTGTCCCTGCCAGAGGCCCGTGTGCCTGCTGGTTCTGATCTGTTCCTGCCAGAGGCCCGTGTGCCTGCTGGTTCTGATCTGTTCCTGCCAGAGGCCCTTGTGCCTGCTGGTTCCCATCTGTTCCTGCCAGAGGTCCCCGCACCTGCTGGTTTTGTCCTGTGTGTTCCAGGGGCCCCTGTGCCCACTGGTCCTGAGACTGTTCTCGCTGGAGGGCCCGAGGAGCCCGTCCAGCCTTTTGCATCGTCAGCTGGAGGGCCCGAGGAGCCCGTCCAGCCACCAGCTGCTCCACCAGCAGCCTCATCCTTGCTTGCAGACGCAGTTTCATCCATGCCGCCGCCTGCTGCAGAGCCTTCGTCTCCAGCTTCCACGCCTGGTCCGGCTCCGGCTTCATCCTCGCCTGGTCCAGCTTCAGCATCACCCACGCCTGGTCCAGCTTCAGCATCATCAGCGTTGCCTGCAGCAGTCTCTTCATTAGCATCATCAACGTCGCCTGGTCCAGCCTCTGGCTCAGCTTCGCCTGGTCCAGCGTCTGCTTCAGCTTCGCCTGGTCCAGCGTCTGCTTCAGCTTCGCCTGGTCCAGCGTCTGCTTTAGCTTCATCTGCTTCGCCTGGTCCAGCGTCTGCTTTAGCTTCATCTGCTTCGCCTGGTCCAGCGTCTGCTTTAGCTTCATCTGCTTCACCTGGTCCAGCCTCCGCATCCGCTTCAGCCTCGCCTGGTCCAGCCTCCGCATCCGCTTCAGCCTCGCTTGGTGCAGCCTCCGCATCCACTTCAGAGTCGTCTGGTCCAGCCACTGCTTCATCCTCGTCTGGTCCAGCCTCCGTGTCTTCATCCTCGTCTGGTCCGGCTCCCGCATCACCTGCAGTGGCCTCTGCATCAGCTTCGTCTTCACCTGGTCCGGCTTCAGCCTCGCCTGATTCAGCCTCCGCATTCGCTTCAGCGTCGCCTGGCCCAGCTTCGGCTTCAGCCTCTGCCTTGTCTGGTCCAACCTCCGCTTCGCCTGGTGCTGCAGGTGCCACGGAGCCTTCGGGTCCCCTTATACCACCTCCACATCGTCGGTCATCTGCCAGGCCGCTTGTTGGGCATCATCGCCACCATGGCCGCCCTCCGGACTTCTGTTGCCGCCATTGCCTTCCGCGTGGCCGGCCTCCAGGCTTGCATTCCCGCCGCTGTTGCCGTCCACACGATCGGACCCCAGAACTGCTTCCTCACAGTTGCCGTCCGCACGGTCGGCCCCCAGAACTGTTTCCTCGCCGTTGCCGTCCGCACGGTCGGCCCCCGGAACTGTTTCCACGCCACTGCCTACGGCGTGGCCGGCCTCCAGGCTTGCATTCCCGCCGCTGCCAGTGCAGCCCCACTGCTGCTGCCATTCGCATGGTCGGCCTCCGGAACTGCACTGTTTTGGCCTCCTGCGCTGTCGGCCCCCTGAACTTGGCCATCTGGGCCTTTTTGGACTCTGTCCCTCCGTCCTGGGCCCCCTCCGCCCACCCTGGTCGGGTTGTTTTCTGTTTTGTTTTGGTCCGTTTTTGTGTTTCTGCTGGGCTGTCTGGAGCCAGCCCTTGAGGGGGGGTACTGTCATGGTCCTGGGCCGGTGACCCAGCGCTTTTAGTTTGTTATTGTCATGGTCCTGGGTCGGTGACCCAGCGCTTTTAGTTTGTTATCATTTTCATGATGATGATGATGATTGTTTGAGTTCTATGTGTTATATTCGGTCTGCCTTTGAGTCTTGCATCTGTGTCTCTGTCTGTCTATGTTGTCAACCCGTCTGTTTGTGAAGCTGTCTGTTTAGTTCTGTGTCTTGTTTGGTTCCCTGTGTTTGAGTTTCCTGCTTTATTGTGAAGGTCTCTGTGTGATGTGAGTGTGTTCAGTTTACATTTCCCCTGTCCCGTCAGCTCCGATTCCTCCCAGCTGTGTTGCCCTCCTGTCTCTCATCCCCTGATTACTGGTGTGTGTATTTAAGCCCTGTGTGTTCTCCTGCCTGTTGCCGGTTTGTCTGTATTACGCCGTGTCAGTCTGTGTTCCACGGTGTCCTGTTCCTCGTCTGCGTCTGCGTCTGCGTCTCTCTGCTTCTCATCCCGTTGTCGTATGCTCCCAGGTCTGTTATTTTTTTAGTTCTCCCAGTTTAGGTGTCTTCAGTTATTTGTTATGCCCCACTGTCTGTGAAGGTTCTCAGTCATCCAGGTCATCGTAGTCAAAGGAGCTTGCAAAGAAAAGCGTCTGGACTTCTTTAAGTTACTTGAAGACGTTTCACCTCTCATCCGAGAAGCTTCTTCAGTTCTGAGCTGTGTGAGCTAAGATGTTAAGTTATTCACATAATGAAAACCTATACTTTGTTTCGTGCGAGTTCCCCATTCAAATGCATGTAATAGTCAGAAATATAAATCCAAGCATCACACCTACTCCGAAGTTGATCCTCTTATCTGCCATGGGGGCTACCATTTCCCAGGCATCCCAGGCATCCCAGGCATCCCATCCCTTGCTGGGAAATGGTAGCCCATTTCCCAGCAAGGAGCGGTATGACAGCGTGGAGCTCCACGCCGTTCATATGTGCTGGGCCATAGCCTCCAATAGCATACACCATCCCATCTAGGACAGCGGTGGCAAAGCAGCTGCGAGACTTCGTCATGGGTGCCACAGGCTGCCACTCCTTCAGCTTCGAGACATACTTCTCCACAGACTGGAGGTAATACTGGCCGTCATAGCCTCCCAGGGCATACAGCTCTCCGGCCAGGACCACTACACCGAGAGTGCTGCGACACTCTGCCATACGCTCCACTGAAGACCACGTGTTGGTTTCGGGGTCCCAGCTTTCGACTGTGCTCTCGTGCCTCCGATAGCTAATGCCCTGCCTCATATGTGTGGCGATGCCTCCCACAACATAAACTTTGTGGTCCAGCACCGCCACTCCAAATTCATATCTGGGTACACTGAGAGGGGCCAGTCCTATCCATGAATCCGTCTGAGGGAAATACATTTCCGTGCTTTCCAATGTGGCAAACAGTCCAGCCTTGCCTCCTACTGCAAGCAGCACCTTTGGGACACACCTGGGTCGTGCAGACAACACAGTCTGATAGGACAGCCGGTGTTCAGGCATAAAGTGATATTTGAGGGCCTCATTGAGCAGATGCTTGCAGGCGTGGTCATCTCGTATAAGATGGTTGGCTTCATATAGGCGAGTGAGGAATTTGACGCTGAGCAGCGGAAGGCGAACACAGTGCAGCAGTTGAGCCAGATGCTGCTGTCTCTCAGTTACATCATATTTGATCCATGATTCGAGGGCATAAAATACAGTCTCCTCTGTGACTACCTTAAGGCAATCATTGGACACAATTTCATCCAACTCGGCTCTCGTCAGTTCAAAAAACTCCTCCGTTTGACAGACTTCCTCAAAGTTCTCACAGATGAACTTCGTTGCAGCCAAGCACAGGTCATGACAGCCGTAAGTCTCTGCAAAGCGGGAAATGCCTATACAGTTTCCAGCGTCCAGCTGGCTCTCTAAGAAGGAACAACACTCCTTAAGTACAAGCTTAACCTGGAGTAAGTTGGCAGCGGGGAGCAAAGATTCCACTGTCTCCTGGGAGATAAACACCGTCCCGGTATAAGCATACTCCACTATAGCCTGCAAGGCAGCTTCATCAATGCACTGGAACTCCACCTCAGAGGTCTCCTTTTCTGACAGGTTACCCGTAAACATGGCCTTGAAATAAGGACTGATGCTGGCCAGCACTACTTTGTGGGCATGGATCTTGGCATCACCCACACGCAGCACAATGTCACATAGTTCGTGATCCTGCCGCAAGAGCTGGAGGCCTTGCAGCAGCTCCTCTGAGTGAGAACGTGTCAGACTTGCAAACATATAGGACTGGTCCTGCTGGTCCATCTGTAGTTTACAGCCCGTCTGGCGTGCCGCTGTAATGACCGATTTTGCAGTGGCGACGACAGCGAAGCCCGGGCGGCTATCAAGAAAACAACTAAATGCAACTAAATAAAGCCTTTTTGTACAACTTCATGAAGTTGGCTGTAACTTTTGATAGAAGGCTCAGACTCACATATTTATGGCTTTATCTTATAGAATTCAATATCCCCGTGCTGGGTTTTGCAGCTGTTTGAGCTAAGATTTTCCAGTTTTTCACATAATGAAAACGTATACTTTGTTTCATGCGAGTTCCCCATTCAAATGAATTGAAATCGCAAGAAACGCACTGTCCTCACGAAATAAAGCGTTTTTGTACAACTTCATATACATCTTATAGAATTCAATATCCCCGTGCTGGGCAAACAGGTTTTGCAGCTGTTTGAGCTAAGATTTTCAAGTTATTCACATAATGAAAACCTATACTTTGTTTCGGGCGAGTTTCCCATTCGTAACAGTGAGAAACGCACTGTCTTGACGAAATAAAGCGTTTTTGTACAACTTCATATAAATAGCTGTAACTTTTGATAGGAGACTCAGACTCACATATTTATGGCTTTATCTTATACAGGTGGAGGTGACACAAACCACCTGCAACTCAACACCTCAAAGACTAAGGAACTGGTTGTGGACTTCGGGAGGTCCAGAGAAGGTCCACTGCCGGTTCAGATAGAGGGGGAGGAGGTGTAGGTGGTCAACAAGTACAAGTACCTCGGGCTGTGGGTGGACAATAAACTGGACTGGTCATGCAACACAGAGCACCTGTATAAAAAAGCCCAAAGCCGACTGTACTTCCTCAGGAAGCTGAGGTCTTTTAACATCTGCAGGAAGCTCCTGAGGATGTTTTACCAGTCGGTGGTTGCTGGAGTACTTTTCTATGCTGTGGTGTGCTGGGGGAGCAGCACAGCAAAGAAGGACTCATCCAGGCTGGAGAAACTGATCAGGAAGGCTAGCTCTGTGGTCGGCATGAAGCTGGACACTCTGGTGAGAGTGGCAGAGAAAAGGACATTAAAGAAACTGATGGACATTATGAACAATGCTGGGCATCCTCTGCACACGGCCATTAACAACCAGAAGAGTCTTTTCAGTGACAGGTTGGTTCTCCCCAAGACAAGAACTAACAGACTTAAAAACTCCTTTGTCCCACACGCCATCAGACTGTTTAACTCCTCTCTGGAGGGGAGAGGGAGGGGAAACAGGAGGACAAAGGAGGGGGGAACAACTAAGCTGTAGTGCCTCTTCACCTCACTGCACCTTGTGCAATACTTTTTGTAAATAGTCAATGGTGCAATAGACTCAATACTTGAAATGTGCAATTCACTTGTATTTTTATTTTTATTCCTATTTATTCTATTTATCCCCTTCGTATATTTTATTTATATTTGTCTCTGTATTTATATATGTGTGTATATGTATGTATATATATATATATAATATATATATATATTATATATAATATATATATATATATATATAAAATTATTATTATTATTATTATTATTATTATTATTATGTAACCTCTGTCGGTGCTGTGCTTTTTGGAAATCGAATTTCCCAGAGGAACCCACCCGAGGGATTAATAAAGTTCTATCTTATCTTAATTCAATATCCCCGTGCTGGGCAAACAGGTTTTGCAGCTGTTTGAGCTAAGATTTTCAAGTTATTCACATAATGAAAACTTGTACTTTGTGTCGGGCGAGTTCCCCTTTCAAATTAATTGAAATCGCAAGAAACGCACCGTCTTGGCGAAAGAAAGCGTTTTTGTACAACTTCATATAAATAGCTGTAACTTTTAATAGAAGACTCAGACACACATATTTATGGCTTCATCTTATGGAATTCAATATCCCCGTGCTTGTCAAACAAGTTTTAAAGCTGTTTGAGCTAAGATTTTCAAGTTATTCACAAGATGAAAACCTATACTTTGTTTCGTGCGAGAACTCCTTTCAAATGCATGTAATAGTGCACGGTCTCGGCGAAATAAAGCGTTTTTGTACAACTTCATAAAGTTACCTGTAACTTTTGATAGAAGTCTCAGACACACATATTTATGGCTTCATCTTATGGAATTCAATATCCCCGTGCTGGGCAAACAGGTTTTGCAGCTGTTTGAGTTAAGATTTTCAAGTTATTCACATAATGAAAACCTATACTTTGTGTCGGGCGAGAATTCCATTCAAATGCATGTAATAGCGAGAAACGCACTAACGTGGTGAAATAAAGCGTCTTTCATTGTCTTCATAAAGACAGCTGTAACTTTTGATAGAAGACTCAAAAATACATATTTATGGCTGTATCTTATAGAATTCAATATCCCCGTGCTGGGCAAACAGGTTTTGCAGCAGTTTGAGCTAAGATTTTCAAGTTATTCACATAATGAAAACCTATACTTTGTGTCGGGCGAGAACTCCATTCAAATGCATGTAATAGTCAGAAACGCACTGTCTTGACGAAAGAAAGCGTTTTTGTACAACTTCATGAAGACAGCTGTAGTTTTTGATAGAAGACTCAGAAATACATATTCATGGCTTTATCTTATAGAATTCAATATCCCCGTGCTGGGCAAACAGGTTTTGCAGCTGTTTGAGCTAAGATGTTAAAATTATTCACATAATGAAAACCTATACTTTGTTTCAGGCGAGTTCCCCATTCAAATGCATGTAATCGTCAGAAACGCACTGTCTTGGCGAAATAAAGCCTTTTTGTACAACTTCTTAAAGACAGCTTTAACCTTTGATAGAAGACTCAGATATACGTATTCATGGCTTTATCTTATACAATTCAATATCCCCGTGCTGGGCAAACAGGTTCTGCAGCTGTTTGAGTTAAGATTTTCAAGTTATTCACATAATGAATACCTATACTTTGTTTCGTGCGAGTTCCCCATTCAAATGCATGTAATCGGCAGAAACGCACTGTCTTGGCGAAAGAAAGACTTTTTCTACAACTTCATGAAGACAGCTTTAGTTTTGATAGAAGTTCAGAAATACATATTCATGGCTTTATTTATATAATTCAATATCCCCGTGCTGGGCAAACAGGTTTTGCAGCTGTTTGAGCTAACATTTTCAAGTTATTCACAAATGAATACCTATACTTTGTGTCGGGCGAGAACTCCATTCAAATGCATGTAATAGCGAGAAACGCATTAACGTGGTGAAATAAAGCATTTTCATGGTCTTCTTAAAGACAGCTGTAACTTTTGATAGAAGACTCAGAAATACATATTCATGGCTTTATCTTATAGAATTCAATATCCCGTGCTGGGCAACAGGTTTTGCAGCTGTTTGAGTTAAGATTTTCAAGTTATTCACATAATGAAACCTATACTTTGTTCGTGCGAGTTAAGATTTCAAGTTATTCACATAATGAATACCTATACTTTGTTTCAGGCGAGTTCCCCATTCAAATGCATGTAATCGTCAGAAACGCACTGTCTTGGCGAAATAAAGCGTTTTTGTACAAGTTCATGAAGACAGCTGTATTTTTGATAGAAGTTCAGACACACAATTTATGGCTTTATTTATAGAATTCAATATCCCCGTGCTGGGCAAACAGGTTTTGCAGCTGTTTGAGCTAAGATGTTAAATTATTCACATAATGAAAACCTATACTTTGTTTCGTGCGAGTTCCCATTCAAATGCATGTAATCGTCAGAAACCACTGTCTTGGCGAAATAAAGCCTTTTTGTACAACTTCATGAAGACAGCTGTAGTTTTTGATAGAAGACTCAGAAATACATATTTATGGCTTCATCTTAAAGAATTCAATATCCCCGTGCTGGGCAAACAGGTTTTGCAGCAGTTTGAGCTGAGATTTTAAAGTTATTCACATAATGAAAACCTATACTTTGTTTCGTGCGAGTTCCCCATTCAAATGCATGTAATCGTCAGAAACGCACTGTCTTGGCGAAATAAAGCCTTTTTGTACAACTTCATGAAGACAGCTGTAGTTTTTGATAGAAGGCTCAGAAATACATATTTATGGCTTTATCTTATAGAATTCAATATCCCCGTGCTGGGCAAACAGGTTTTGCAGCTGTTTGAGCTAAGATTTTCAAGTTATTCACAAAATGAAAACTACTTTGTTTCAGGCGAGAACTCCATTCAAATGTGCGTAGTAGCGAGAAACGCACCAACGTGGTGAAATAAAGCGTTTTTAATGTTCTTCATAAAGACAGCTGTAACTTTTGATAGAAGACTCAGAAATACATATTTATGGCTTTATCTTATAGAACTCAATATCCCCGTGCTGGGCAAACAGGTTTTGCAGCTGTTTGAGCTAAGATTTTCAAGTTATTCACATAATGAAAACCTATACTTTGTGTCGGGCGAGAACTCCATTCAAATGCATGTAATAGTCAGAAACGCACTGTCTTGACGAAAGAAAGCGTTTTTGTACAACTTCATGAAGACAGCTGTAGTTTTTGATAGAAGACTCAGAAATACATATTCATGGCTTTATCTTATAGAATTCAATATCCCCGTGCTGGGCAAACAGGTTTTGCAGCTGTTTGAGTTAAGATTTTCAAGTTATTCACATAATGAAAACCTATACTTTGTGTCGGGCGAGAACTCCATTCAAATGCATGTAATAGTCAGAAACGCACTGTCTTGGCGAAATAAAGCCTTTTTGTACAACTTCTTAAAGACAGCTGTAACCTTTGATAGAAGACTCAGATATACATATTCATGGCTTTATCTTATAGAATTCAATATCCCCGTGCTGGGCAAACAGGTTTTGCAGCCGTTTGAGTTAAGATTTTCAAGTTATTCACATAATGAATACCTATGCTTTGTTTCAGGCGAGTTCCCCATTCAAATGCATGTAATCGTCAAAACCGCACTGTCGTGGCGAAAGAAAGCCTTTTTTCTACAACTTCATAAAGTTAGCTGTAACTTTTGATAGAAGTCTCAGACACACATATTTATGGCTTCATCTTATGGAATTCAATATCCCCGTGCTTGTCAAACAAGTTTTAAAGCTGTTTGAGCTAAGATGTTAAAATTATTCACATAATGAAAACCTATACTTTGTGTCGGGCGAGAACTCC